CCCTCTGTTCAAGGCTCGGCTTCGGTCGAAGCCCCCGAAAGAGAATTGTGAGAAGCTCCACTTTGCTACGATGGCCTTCCGTGGGTGGCGCATGGGCGGGTTCGACCAGCGTGTGCGTGCGATGCGTGCGTATCCTCGGTTACTTCAGTACTTTGATCCTGACCGTGAGAGATGCTTGGATATAGTCGGCTTAGGTGCATTGGTGCAGTCTCTGAAGGATGCTTGGTATGAGCCGGAGGAACGGGCGATGGACGGGTGGGGGGATGACGAGAAGTCTAAGGCTAAGGCAATGGCACGCTTGCAACACCTTCGTCGTGCCTGGTCAAAGATGCGACGGCGATGCGGGCTCTCTGGGGTCCTGGACAGTCCTGAGCAGGTGCGCCCTTCTCCAACGGCCTCTGCTGAGGCCCTTCGGGGCCATTGGCAGGCGGTTTTTGCCGCCAAGGAACCTGATCGGACCCTCTGGCCTGAAGACCTCGCTCATGCCCAGCCGATCCAGTTGGACCCAGTACATTGGAAGTTGGAAGTTGATGATTTTATTGAACGAGCCCGATTTAAGCATCACTCTGCCCCTGGGGAGGATGGCATTCCGTATGGATGCTGGAAAGCCGAGGGGGGCGCTGATGTTTTATTTGTTGTCTATGATGAGATGTGCCAAGCGTCGGGGGGTGCTGTTTCGGCGTGCATGCGTCGTGGAAGGATGTGTTTCCTGCCCAAAGACTTCAAAGACGACGAGAACCCCGCTGTCCTTGTTCGGTCGCTTGATAAGACTCGCCCACTCACGCTTGCGAATGCCGATGCGAAGCTCCTGAGTGACGCCTTCTCCATTGGCCTCCAGCGGGCTGCGCCGTCAGTGATCGACCCGATCCAGCGGGGGGGCTTCCGCGGCGTGGGCTCCTTGACAACGTGGTCGAGATTGAATGGTGGGGTCTTCGTCAGATGCTTACTGGTGGAGATCGCTCGGGCATCCTTTTCACTGACTTTAAGGCTGCGTTCCCCTCTCTGATCGTCTCTTGGATATTGGCGGTCTTGGAGTCCATGGGTGTTCCTGGTGAAGCTTGTGGTTTCTATCGCGAGTTGCACCGTGGCAGTGTGGCTGTAATCCGCTCCCCTGGGGCTACTGGTATTACGTTTTCGGTGGAGCGTGGGGTGCGGCAAGGTGATCCTGCTTCGATGCTCCTCTTCGCTTATGCGTTCGACCCAGTATTGCGTTGGATGAGGGCCAAGCTCACGGACCATGCCCCTCGGATAAGAGCGTGCGCTGATGATCTCTCCTTCTGCTTTCCCAACATCCTGACTGACCTCCAGCCGACGCTCTCGCTCTTTCGTAAGTTGGAACAGGCTGTGGGACTTGGGCTGAACATTTCCAAATGTAAGGTACGGGTGATTGGCTCGCTTGATCCTGATAGATTAGTTGCCCACCTTCGAGCCAAGGGGAGTGAGGACTACCGCATTGGGTTTGTTCGTGTGGTTCTATACTTGGGATTCTGGCTTGGGCCTGGGGCTCTGGACAAAGTATGGAGCAGCACCATCCCCAAGTTCTGGATGACGGCTCGGAGGCTCCGTGGGCTTGGGCTTGGGCTTCCACAGACCATTCGCCTCTTCCACTCGCACTGCATGTCGATTCTGGCGTGCCAGTTACAACTCTGTCCAGTGACCAAGGCTCTTCGGAAAGCGTATAATGAGGCCTTGCAGGTGATTACTGCTGGTCCCCGCCATGCCTTCTCGAGGGAGATGCTGACGGGCATGCGAGCGTTGGGGGCCTCTGTAGAATGCTTGGATATCAATTGTTTGTCTAAGGCTATCAACTTTCGGGTGGTGATGTCTTGCTCCAGTATAGATGCTATCCCGTATGAGATGGGGTCGTTGACGGTTTCCCTGGATGACGATAACTTCATTCCCGCTCGACTATCATGGCCCTGGTGGAAGTCTTCCTGGCTCAGGACTACGGTGACTGAAGTAGGCAACTTCACGGTCCCGCCCCTGGAACCCATCCCCAAGAAATCCCTTCAGAAGAAAGCCATGCGCAAGCTCAGAGGGCTCCGTGACCCCACTGTTCCCCTTCGCACCATGGTGCAGACGGTAGCTGACTTCCAGGTGCTTGCCCAGAGGACGCGTAAATTTGAGAAGGACAGCACGATGCACCTCGTCACCGGGGTACTTAGAGTGCTCTGCCGTGGGGTCTGTACCTCCAGTCGGCTGCGTACCACGGTGGAGGGATGTGCGTTTGGGTGTCCTCTGGAAGCGGCTGACGACGACCTGAGGCATTATCGCGTGTGCCCCGAGTTGAAGGCAGGTTTGATTGACATATTCCCCCTGTGGAGGACTTCTGAGGTCTTGGGCCGAGGCTCTAACGGGTGAGGATTGGCTCCTCACTCTCTGTTGTCTGGGGCCACAGTGGGGGGCGGTCACGTGACCTAGTGGGGCGCGCCCTTGTTGATTGCTTTCTGGCCGCGCATAATGCTCGCAGGACTGGCTCGGTCCAGCCGGGGGAGTTTCTTATTAAAGCAAGGCTTCGACAGCTGTCTCGTCGGCACCCCAAGCTTAATGAGGCGCTGCGTGCGCTGCGTCTGGCTGCTGCTGCTGCCGCCCCTCCCCCTGCTCCTCCTGCTCCTCCTGCCGTGCCCCTCCTCTCCTGAGTTGGCGTGTTTCCTTTGTTTGGTCCCCCCTTTTCCCTGTGGCCCCCTAGGTATTGGTCCATGCATGATGTTGTCAGAGTTTGATGTGATCCTGGTGGGTCTCTCTGGTTGGCTGGCTGGTTTTCCGAGGTTGTTTTTTCATGTTATTGTGCTTTCTCTGCGTTCTGTTACGTTTCTTGGTTAATTCAGGGCCCCGTGTTGTCTCCGCCTGCAGGTGAAGATGGTGAGGTGCAGCTAGAGAGAGTGCCTCTCTCGCCGCGCCGCCGCCCCCCTGCCTCGGGAGGGTGCTTCTCTTGCCGCGCCGCTGCCCCCCCGCCTCTCTCCGCCGCCCGCCCCGCGGCCGCCCCGCCTCTCTTGCCTGCCCGCCTCTCTTGCGGCCCCTGAACTACAGGTTCTCGGACGGGCGAAACGGCGGAGCGGTCTGGTTCGCTCGAGCGTCGATGGAGCGTCGCTCCTGTAGGGTAGGCAGGCCTTCCCGCGACGCCAAGCCGCGGCGCCTCCAGACACCCGTTGCGTCTGGCGCGGAGGAGGTCACCCCCCTCTGCCGCGCCCCGCCGTCGCCCTCAGGTTCCCGACGAAGTTCGAGGCACCCCCGCAGCCGCTCCACGCGAGAGAGCGGTCCCCTCTCGCCCTCAGGTTCCCGACGAAGTTCGAGACACTTTGGAGGCCAGCTGTCGTGTTTCCCTTGTTCGCTGTGTTGGGGCGTCGTTTTTGGGGCGCGCCCCCTTCTGTCTGCTTCTGCCTGCTGCGCTGTGGGTTGGGCCCTCGGTCAGCCGTGGGTGAGCGCGGCAAGGGAAGGATGCTCGAGTGTGTGACCCCCTTTTGGACGGTGTGCCGCGGGGGGGCGCGCGCCCGCCAGGGATCCAGCGCACTCGGAGCAGAGTGCCCGCCGCCGCTTCTCTTTGCCCTGCCCCTGCCGCTGCTCCTCCCCCGCCCTTTGCGTGCTAGGTAGCACGGTGCCCAGTGCTCGATGACATTCGGTGCGCGCGCTTGCGGTGGAAAAAAATCCTCCTCCTCCTCCTCCTCCTCCTTCCCTCCCTCCCTCCCTCCCTCCCTCCCTCCCTCCCTCCTCCTCCTCCTCCCCTCCTCCTCCTTCCCCTCCCTCCCTCCCTCCCTCCCTCCCTCCTCCCTTTCCGCTCTCCTCCTCCTCCTCCCTCCTCTTCCTCACCCCTCCCTCCTCCTCCTCCTCCCCCTCCTCCTCCCCCTCCTCCTCCTCCTCCCTTTCCTCCTCCTCCTTCCTCCAATCCCTCCTCTCCTCTTCATTCCCTGCTCTCTGTGCTCCTCCTCCTCCTCCTCTTCTCCTCTTCCTCCTCCTTCCCCCTCCCTCCCTCCCTCCATCCTCCCTCTCCGTCCATCCCTCCCTCCTCCTCCCTCCACTCCTTCCCTCACTTCCATCCTCCTCCTCCCTCCCCCCCTCCCCCCACCCTCCCTCCCCCCCCCCCCCCCCCTCCCTCCCTCACCCTCCTCCCCCTCCCTCCCCGCCTCCTCCCTCCCTCCCTCCTCCTCCTCCTCCTCCTCTTCGTCCTCCTCCTCCTCCTTCTCCTTCTCCTCCTCCCTTTCCTCCTCCTTCCTCCTCCTATTCCCTCCTCCTCCCCCTGCCTCCTCCTCCTCCTCCTCCTCCTCCTCGCTCTGCCTACCTGCTTCCTCGGCTCCTCAGCCTCCTCTTTCTCCTCCTCCGCCTCCTCCTCCTCCTCATCTCTTCCTCCTTCCTCCTCCTCCTCCCTCCCTCCCTCCCTCCCTCCTGTCCCTCCCTCCTCCTCCTCCTCCTCAGTCCTCCTCCTCCTCCTCCTCCGCCTCCGCCTCCTTCCTCCCTCCTCCCTCCCTCCCTCACTCCGCCATCTTCCCTCCCTCCTCCTCCTCCTCCTTCTCCTCCTCCTCCCTTTTCCTCCTCGCCCTTTCCTCCTCCGCCCTTTCCTCCTCCTCCTTTCCTCCTCCCCTCCTTTTTCCCCACCTCATTCCTTTTCCCTCCGCCTCCGCCTCCTCCTCTTCCTCCTCCTCCGCCCACCCCCCTTCCTCCTCCTCCTCCTCCTCCTTCTTCCTCCTCCTCCTCCTTCTCCTCCTCCTCCTCCTCCTCCTTCTTCTCCCCCGTCCTCCTCCTCCTCCTCATCCCTCCTCTTCTCCTCCTCCTCCTCCTCCTCCTCCTCCTCCTACTCTTCCTCCTCCTCCTTTGTTCCCGCATTGTCCTCCGAATTGCAACACCGTGAGAGAGCACGACGGGAGCTCAAGACCCAATTTGTCTGCTCTGCGGCGTTTCTCGAGCCGGGTCGATCGGTGAGGGCCTTGGGGCCCACAACTCGGCGAACGCGTTTGGTGTGAAACAAATGCAACGCTCGGATCTCAGGTTTCTGTTGCCCCATGCAGGTGAGGCAGGTCGTGAGGTTCAGCTCGGAGACGTCGAAGTACGCCGAGTTCCCGGACGACTTCGTGCTCGTTTGGCGCTTCGTGGGGCTGCTGTCCGAGGCCGCCCCTTCCGCGCCATCGCGCGAAGGTCTGCGGGGCGAGCCGCTGTGCCGGATGGTGCTGCAGGGCGTCCGGCTGATGCACCTGTGCGGGTACGACTACAGCGACGTCGTCGTCGTGCTGGCCCATGCCAGCGTCTAGCGAAGACGCCTGTGGCGAGCCACCGCCGCCCCCTGCCTTCTGGACGCGCCCACGGTGGCCAGACGCTGGGCCGAGGCCTGGCCCAGCTCAGCTGCTGGACTCCGCGTGCGCGTGGCCCTCACGGGCCTCTCCGCGCGACACCTCTCCCGGTTCCGTCTGGATCGGCCGAGACCCCACCAGTCACCAGCCTCGAACTTATCCCTATCCCTAAGATTGACACGCTACAAGGAGATGGCAGTCTCAGGGATGCACCCTCAGGAACTGAGGAAATCCCTGAGATCGCCATCGTGATGAGGCGATGCCCAACATAGGGATAGGGATATGTTCCAGGCTGGTAAACCAGGAAGCCTCGGGACAGGCCTGACACAGTCAGAGTCTGGCACGCCAGCAGCCACCCACTGTTGACAGACCACAGGGGGGCAGCGGATCGAAGACGCCTGCGGCGAATCACCGCCGCCCCCTGCCCTTGTGGAAGCGCCTATGTGGCTGACAGCTGGGCTAGAGCCTGGCCAAGCTAGCGGGCCAGTTGTTCTTCGAGTGGGGGAGCAAGAGGTTTGAAAGCGCTCATGTGTCCGAGCGTTGTGGCACGAGCTTGCCAAGCGGTCGGACCATGTGTTCCCCCAATCGTTGCGGAAACCCTTCGGGGAATATTTCTGGGAAGATGGCGGGGAAGATCAGGAGGGGAAGAGGAGGAGGAGAATGAAGAAGGAGGAGGAGAAGGAGGGCGAACATAAGGAGGAGGAGATGAGATGAGGAGGAGGAGGAGTCTTGGGCGTCTTGGAGGCCTCTTGGGCCGTCTTGAGGGCCTCTTAGGGCTGTCTGGGGCCTCTTGGGCGATCTTTGGGGGCACTTGGGCCGTCTCGGACCGTCGGAAGGCCGAAAAACAGCAGATGCCACAATCCTTGAAAAACTTATTGGAAATTAATGATTTTGGCCTATTCGGGCCTTCCTGGAGGCCCTCTGGGGAGCCTCGTGGGCCGTCTTGGGCCATCTTCGGGCCATCTTCGGCCGTTTTGGTGGGCTCCTGGCCCGGCCGACGCCGTCGGAAGTCGTTTGGGGAGCCACTCTGGGTCGACTGTGGGTCCTCTTGGAGTGCTCCAGGGCCGTCTTGGAGGCCATCTTGGGCGTCTCAAAAGCCTCCTGGGCCGTCTTGAGGGCCCCTTGGGGCCGTCTTGGGGGCCTCTTGGGCCATCTTGGAGGCCTCTTCGGCGATCCTTGGGCGATCTTTGGGGGCTCTTGGGCCGTATCGGGCCGTCGGAAGGCCGAAAAGACGCAAATGTCAAAATCCTTCAAAAATCTATGGGAAATGATTGTTTGTGGCCTTTCCTGGCCTTCCTGGAGACCCTCTTGGAGGCCTCTTGGGCCGTCTTGGGCCAGCTTCGAGCCAATTTCGGCCATCTTGGTGGGCTCCTGGCCCGTCTGACGCAGTCGGAAGCCTTTTGGCGGGCCTCTTTGGGCCGACTTGGAGCCCTCTTGGGGTGCTCCAGGGCCGTCTTTGAGGCCATCTTGGGCGTCTTGGAGGCCTCCTGGGTCGTCTTTGTGCCCCCTTGGAGCCGTCTTGGGGGCCTCTTGGCCAGTCCTGAGCCCATATTGGAGGCCTCTTGGGCGCTCTGTGGGCGATCTTGGGGGCCTCTTGGGCCGTCTTGGGTCGTCGGAAAGCCGTGAAGGAGCAAATACGAAGAACCTTCAAAGCCATACGGAAAGATTTTGGGCTCTTCGGGCCCTCCTGGAGGACCTCTTGGAAGCCTCTTGGGCCGTCTTGGAGGCCTCTTGGGCACCTCTTGGGCCGTCTTAGGCCGTCATGGAAGTTTCTTGGGTAGACTTGGAGGCATCTCCTCTCTTGGGCTGACTTGGAGGCCATCTTGGACCATCTTGGAGGCCATCGTGGGCCAACGTGGCCATCTTGGAGGCCATCTTCAGCCGTCTTGGAGGAAACATTGGGGAAATCCTGCTCCGTAGCAATCCTCCTGGGACCCCGGCGGGACGGGTCGAAGCCCCAGGGGGAGTTCTTTTGGAAAAGGACGAAAACAAAAACCGAGAGGGATTAGCACGCCAGGCACCCCTGCGATGAATCGACAGGGGGCGGCAGAACGAAGACGCCTACGGCGAATCACCGCCGCCGCCTGCCTTTGTGGAAGCGCCTATGTGGCCGAACGTTGAGGCCAGACCTGCCAAGCTATCGGACCATGTGTTCCCCGAATCTGTTTGGAAAGCCTTCGGGGAACAAGTGGGCATCTTGAAGGTCATCTTGGCCGCCTGGAGGCCATTTTGACCCTTTCGGGCCTTCTTGGAGGAAGTCTTGGAGGGCTCTTGGGCCGTCTTGGAGGCCATCTTGAGCGCCTTGGAGGCCTCTTCGGCCGTCTTGGGGGCCTCTTGGGGCCGTCTTGGGCCTCTTGGGCGATATTTGGGGGCATTTGGGCCGTCTCGGGCCGTCGGAAGGCCGACAGAAAGCAACAACCCATGGGAAATCAATGATTTTGGCTAATTCGGGCCTTCCTGGAGGCTCTCTTGGAGGCCTCTTGGGCCGTCTCGGGCCATCTTAGTGCCATCTTCGGCCGTCTTGGTGGGCCCTTGGCCCGTCCGACGCCGTCGGAAGCCGTTTGGAGCCGACTTGGGGCCCTCTTGGAATGCTCCAGGGCCGTCTTGGAGGCCATCTTGGGCGTCTTAAAAGCCTCCTGGGCCGTCTTGAGGGCCTCTTGGGGCCGTCTTGGGGACCTCTTGGGCCGTTCTGGGGCCATCTTGGAGGCCTCTTCGGCGATCCTTGGGCGATCTTTGGGGGCTCTTGGGCCGTATCGAGCCGTCGGAAGGCCGAAACGAAGCAAAGGTCAAAATCTTTCGAGCACTTAGGGAACATGAGTGTTTTCGGCATTTTCTGGCCTGCCTGGAGGCCCTCTTGGAGGCCTCTTGGGCCGTCTTGGGCCAGCTGCGAGCCAACTTCGGCCATCTTGGTGGGCTCCTCGCCCGTCGGAGGCTGTTTGGGAGGCCTTTTTGGGCCGACTTGGGGCCCTCTTGGGGTGCTCCAGGGCCGTCTTAGAGGAGGCCTCTTGGGTCGTCTTTGTGCCCCCTTGGGGCCGTCTTGCGGGCCTCTTGGGCAGTCCTGAGGCTATCTTAGAAGCCTCTAGGGCGCTGTGGGAGCAATCTTGGGTGCCTCGTGGGCCGTCTTGGTCGGAAAGCCGAAAAGGAGCAAATACCAAGAACCTTGAAAGCCATAAGGAAAATCAATGATTTTGGCCTCTTCGGGCCCTCCTGGAGGACCTCTTGGAGGCCTCTTGGGCCGTCTTGGAGGCCTCTTGGGCGCTCTGGGGGCGATCTTGGGGGCCTCTTGGGCCGTCTTGGGTCGTCGGAAAGCCGAAAAGGAGCAAATACGAAAACCTTTGAAGCCAGAAGGAAAATCAATGATTTTGGCCTCTTTCGGGCCCTCCTGGAGGACCTCTTGAAGGCCTCTTGGGCCGTCTTGGAGGCCTCTGGGGCCTCTTGGGCCATCTTCGGCCGTCTTGGACTCTATTGTGCCGAATGGGAGGCCATCTTGGACCATCTTGGGCGGACTTGGAGGCCATCTTGGACCATCTTGGAGGCCATGGAAAAAGTACCAACACCCAAACTGGAATAAACTAGCACGCCGGGCACCCCTGCGATGAATCGACAGGGGGCAGCGGATTTAGTGGCCTCCGGCCCCTGCCGCCGCCGTGCCTGCGTCGTGGACGAGAGGTCTCTCGGGAGAGGGGTCTCTGGGGGGGGCCTCCTGGAAGCCTGTTGGAGGCCTGCCTCTTGGGGGTCTCTTGGGTCTTGTGAGCCCCCCGGAGGCCTTTTGGGGGCCCAGCAGTTCAAGCAATCGGGGTTCTGGGGCCCTTGGGACAATATTCCATGTTGATCGTGGATGACCTGAGGACGCTCCACTCAGTGCCAACTGCACGATGGCGGACTTCAAAGGCGTCCTGGTTACGCTGGGCGATCGGATGACTGCGGACGAGACGGCGCACGTTGTTATGCTCCTGGTCTTCCTGGCACACTGCTTCGTTCTCGACGAGAATTGTCCGCTCAGGTGCTGGCAGAAGTACATTTTCCGCAAATACTGCACGCTGAAGGTCTGCACCATAACCATACCGCCTGTGTGCGGGGCCTCGCTGCCTTCCCTCCCTTTCTCCCGGTCTCTCTCTCTCTCTCTCTCCTTCTCTCATGCCCCGCCATTCTCAACCACGGGGCAAGTGAAAAGCTACCTCCTCTCGGCCTGCGGTGGTGCCTGGAGGTCCCCAGAGGCCCCCGGTGGAAGGCTTCTTGTGGTCGGGCCCCGTACTGTGCTCCAGAACCGGCAGGCCGGTGGGATCCTGGCCCGGTGTTGCTCTCGTCCTGGCCTCTTTTTGCGCGCCCGCGCGCGAGAGGTGCTGGACGCGGCCACGTTCCGGATCTTCCAGATGCGGGACTTCCGCCTCAGGGTCTCGGAGCAGGATCCTCGGCGAAATCTGAACCCTGCCCTCGCCGATTCACGATTCAGGCAACTCGGTGGGCTGCGGGGGTAGGATTCGGAGTCAATCACCGAAATCTGAACCCTGCCCGTGGATTCAGATCCATTGTTGGGACGAACTCGCAACATCGCAACATCAGACATTTATATATATATATATATATATGTATCACCACCGGGGCCCTGACCCCATCTTTCTGCGCCACTGCTCGAGACCGATCGATGTGTGAGGATCCCGGGGCCAGAGAGCGGGCGAAAACGTCCTCTGTAAAAACAGTGCAACGCCAGGATCTTGAAGGCCCATCCACTCAGGAGAATCGGTGGTTGGCGGGGGTGGGGTTCGGATGTCGCCACCTATCGAAGAACGAACAACACCGAATAAACATGACTTCTCGGACGTCAGCGCGGATCTCTTGGATCGGCAGCGCCTCCGGCGCCGCCCATGGCGTGCTCAGCGAGCCAAGGAAGGGGGGTCCCAGCGCCGATCCAAGAGATCCGCGCGGACCTCCGAGACGTTGTCCTTCTGCCGCTTTCGTTCTTCAATCAATGGAGACGTCCGAACCCTACCCCCACCTGTCGGGCCGGACGAGAGGGCAGGATAAGGAAAGGGGTGGTCACGAAACTTGCTGCATGCAGCTGGTTTCGGCCCCGCTGCCAGGCCCATTCCTCGATGCATGGGCGCCTCCCGGCGCCAGGAGGCGCCAGGATGACCAGCTACGTGAGCTGATCCCTTACCCTGCCGTCCTCCCCGAACCTGGCGTTAAGTCGGGCATGTCCCTCTACAGGAGGAACATTTGAGAATAGTCAAAGACTAGTCTGGGGGCGATCATTCGACTACTTCGAATGATTTGTTTGAGTACGTGTTGGCCATCTTCTGTTTTTGTTCCAAAACCCGCCGGTAGGAGCACATGCCCGACCCAAACCTGGCGGGGGGACCTCGAGTTTCTGGATAAGCGTCGGGGGGGCGTCACCCCCGCCGACGGCCCCACATCGACCCCCGTCGCGGGCAGCCACACCGCGCGCCGAAGGCGCTCCGACCCCCGTCGCGGCGAGACGACGAGGCGAGGTTGACCCCCGTCGGGGGGGTCCCCCCCCAACGCTTATCAAGAAACCCGGAGGAGGAGGAGGAGGAGGAGGAGGAGGCGGAGGCGGAGGCGGAGGAGGAGGAGGCGGAGGCGGGGGAGGAGGAGGAGGAGGCGAGAGGAGGAGGAGGAGGAGAGGAGAGGAGGAGGAGGAGGAGGAAGGAGGAGGAGAGGAGACGAGGAGAGGGAGGAGGAGGAGGAGGAGAGAGGAGGAGGAGGAGGTGGAGGAGGAGACGAGGAGGCAGGGAGCGAGGAGGAGGGCCGGCTGCTGGACCCCAGGACACGCCGGGGGCGCCCCCGCGGAAGCCGGGCGGGCGCGCTTTCGAGCGGGCCCGCGCGGAGCGGGGCCTCCGACGGGGGGGGCAGCGGTCTCGCGCAGAGGGGGGGGGGTATATTGGTGCTAGATGTCCTCCTTGGAGGCGCGCGTCCGACACACACACACACACACACACACACCACACACACACCACACACACCACACACACCACACACACCACACACACCACACACACACACACCACACACACCACACACACCACACACACCACACACACCACACACACACCACACACACCACACACACCACACACACCACACACAGACACAGACACAGACACACACACACACACACACACACACACACACACACGCGCACACACACATACACACACACACACTACAGATGTCTATATCTACATATAGACATATTTTTATACATATATACATATATCGGCGCACCGGGTCCGGGGGCCCGGGGCCGGGACCTCGACCGCAAATGTGCACCCCGGGGGGCCCGGAGGCTCGTCGGGGCTTGCCGGAGGCCTCCCCAGTCAGGCAAGACGGCCCAAGAAGCGCCCAAGACGGCCCAAGAAACTTCCAAGAGGCCTCCAAGAGGGCTCCGAGATGCTGAAGATGGCCTCCAGACGTCCAAGGACGCCCCCAAGAGGCCCCAAGAAGCCTCCAACATGCGTCCCAAGAGGGCCCCTAGACGCAAAAATTGGCCCATTCCCTTCGTAAAACGTACATGTTTCAACAAAGTTGCTTTTGGGCTTTCCGACGTTACAGGACGGCCCAAGAGGCGCCCAAGACCGCCCCAAGACGGCCCAAGAAGCTTCCAAGAGGGCCCCAGGACAGCCCAAGAGGGCCCCAAGACGGCCCAAGAGGCGCCCAAGATGGCCCAAGAGGGCCCCAAGACGGGCCCAAGAGGGGGCCCAGAGGGGGACCACGAACCGCAAGCTCGAGCCTTCCGCCCCAAGAGGCCGCCAGGAGGCCCCCAGGAGGCCCCTCAAGAGGCCCCGGAGACCCCAGACGTCCAAGGACGCCCCCAAGAGGCTCCAAGAAGCCTCCAACATGCGTCCCAAGAGGGCCCCTAGACGCAAGAATTGGCCCATTCCCTTCGTAAAACGTACATTTTCAACAAAGTCGCCTTTTGGGCTTTCCGACGTTACAGGACGGCCCAAGAGGCGCCCAAGACCGCCCCAAGACGGCCCAAGAAGCTTCCCAGAGGGCCCCAGGACAGCCCAAGAGGGCCCCAAGACGGCCCAAGAGGCGCCCAAGATGGCCCAAGAGGGCCCCAAGACGGGCCCAAGAGGGGGCCCAGAGGGGGACCACGAACCGCAAGCTCGAGCCTTCCGCCCCAAGAGGCCGCCAGGAGGCCCCCAGGAGGCCCCTCAAGAGGCCCCAGGAGACCCCAGACGTCCAAGGACGCCCCCAAGAGGCCCCAAGAAGCCTCCAACATGCGTCCCAAGAGGGCCCCTAGACGCAAAAATTGGCCCATTCCCTTCGTAAAACGTACATTTTCAACAAAGTTGTCTTTTGGGCTTTCCGACGTTACAGGACGGCCCAAGAGGCGCCCAAGACCGCCCCAAGACGGCCCAAGAAGCTTCCAAGAGGGCCCCAGGACAGCCCAAGAGGGCCCCAAGACGGCCCAAGAGGCGCCCAAGATGGCCCAAGAGGGCCCCAAGACGGGCCCAAGAGGGGGCCCAGAGGGGGACCACGAACCGCAAGCTCGAGCCTTCCGCCCCAAGAGGCCGCCAGGAGGCCCCAAGGAGGCCCCTCAAGAGGCCCCAGGAGACCCCAGTCGTCCAAGGACGCCCCCAAGACGCTTCGCGTCACCAATTTCTTCTCGCAACGATTCCTGGGTCTGTGACTCGACAGAACCTAAGCGCGCGCGAAGCGCGCGCGTGGTTCTAGTGTATATATATATATATATATATATGCATAGATATAGTAGTACATCGCTCCCCGAGTGGTGTGGCCAGAAAGCTCCCACCACGACGCACCTACTAGAAGGTTTCTCGGTGCGCGCGTCGTCCCTGGGGGGGAGACGCGCATAGTATTAGTACGTTGGGGTGGCGCCGAAGTCGGGCGTGTCCCTCTACAGGAGGGAGATTCAAGAACACTCAAGAATAGCCTGGGGACGAATTTCTTTCATGTTGAGCATTGCTTGACCATGTTTCATTCTTCCTCCAAATCCGCCCGTCGGAGGACATGCCCGACCTGAGGGTGCGGTAGGCTCATGCGGCGATGGCGCGCCGGCGACGCCGGCGAAGGCGTTCAAGGCTGATCTTCACATGATCGAGCGACGCGGAGGCACTGAGATCGGGGGAGCGTAAGACCCGGGTTTGCCAGGACTCGGGTTCGCCATCGTTTTTTGACGACCGCGCCTCGGATTTTGACGAGGAGGAGTTTCGTGGGATGTCTGCAGCGGGAGGCCTCGTCAAAATGCAGGCTCGGCCTCGTCATTTTTTTGACGACCTCGTCGGGGATTTCCGAGTCCTCTGTACCCAGGTCTTACGTCCCCCTGATGAGAGGCACGGTAACGCCCCAGTGATCCGAAGGAGTTTAGCCTTGAGCGATCGGGGCCGCGATGGATTCGAGGTGGAACGGTCGGGCCGACGCCGCACGAGCCTACCGCAGGGTGAGGGGGGAAGGCTACTTACGAGAACCAGGAGGGGAAAAAAAACACAGACACAATTAATCCTCGATTCCCAGGAAAATGTGCAAAAATATGGGAAGTGGGGGGGAAGACAAAAACCCAGAAAATATGGGAAAATATGGGGACTATTTTTATTTGTGTGTATTTATTTGTGTGTCTTAATTTCCCTTTAACTTACAAGAACCCTGCTCCTTAGACGGCGCTGGCCTCGCCTGTAGATGTAGGGCCAGTACTTTCTAAGAGCCAGCCTCCTTCGTGAAGCTTTCCGCCCTACCCCTGCCCCCTGGTGCGCGCCGCCAACTCGTGGCGCGTATTTCTCAGAGCGGAGCCTCCAATGGCAAGAACAAGCAAGAGCCCCAGATTGTCTTGGGATGTTCATCCCAGAGTTTGTTGTGAGTTTCGGACAATTCCGTTAATCGGGGAATGACATTTGATACAAGTCCAAATGAACTACATTGTGCTCTTCGTTGGCCGTTCTGAGGTGTTCCATGCAAAATCCATGTACATGTTCACAGCAGCCCGTCTGCGCAAGTCAAGAGCCCCGTAGGTCTCCGACGATTCGATGCTGTTACATTTTGTCTACCTCGTGTCAGTTTTCGGCCCTGGCGTCTTCCTCGATCTCGTCCTCCAGGGCCCGTTATGGGGCCACCAGGGGCCATCGTCGCCCACGGGGGAGGGGTTGGGGTCTCCTCCGACGGCATGCTTTTCGCTTGTTTTCTGCCCCCGTCCGTTGTGCTGCGGGCTCAGCGCGCCACGTACCATGTCCACCACCGCGTGGACAAAAGGACAGGGGTCCAGAGGCGGGTGGCGCCTCCGACGGTGCCTGAGAGGATGGAGGGTAGCCAATGCGTCCTGGCGACTTGCGGCTGTCTTGGAAGAGCCGCGGCAGACATCGAACACAGAAGAGGGAGGAGAAAGAATTCCAGAGATCCGACGTCGTGATTTTTTCAACGCGGGGCCCCCGACCCATTCCCTAGGACAGTTTTTTCGTCCTGGGTTGCTTTTTGACGGTCCCGAGGCCCGGCGAGGGCCCCTCGATGCCGAAAATTGCGAAAACCTCCGCCTTGACTTTTTCGACACGCTGGATCTCCTGGATGACGAAAGGGGGAGGCGACGACTTGTTCGGTACTGGCGTTTCGTTCTCGCTCTCGCCCTTGCTTCGGGGCTCGTTGTCGGGCCATCGGGGGCCACTCAGGAGGGGAAAAAACACACAGACACAATTAATCGGCGATTCCCAGGAAAACATGGGAAAATATGGGAATTGGGGGGGAAGACAAAAACCCAGAAAATATGGGAAAATATGGGGTATATTTTTATTTGTGTGTATTTATTTGTGTGTCCTAACTTCCCTTCACATCGGGGGCCACGGGGGGGCGATCGGCTGCCCCCAATGGAGGGGTCGGGGCCTTCTCGGGGGCCGCGCGCGGAAGGGGTCACGTCCCTCCGCCGTCTGGGCCTCGACCTGAGTGGGGCGCGTCCCTCTACAGAAGGAACGCTCAAAGACAGTCCAGACATATCTCGGGGGCGGAAAAGAGGGGGGTGATGACTAGGGGGGGGTGGATATCATGGCGCGGGCCATGATATTTCCCCAGATGTCATGGCGCCTCTTCTTATTTCATTACGTCCCTGGCCCCCCCGCTGGGCGGCGCACATGCCGCCGGTCATGATTTGCACCCCCCCCTCTTTGACGCCCCCCTCTTTGCCGCTCCCGATCTACAGAAGGAACACTCAAAGACAGTCCAAACATATCCTGGGGACGATTTTTTGTCAAGTGCTACTTTTGATTATTCTTAGAGTACTTTTGGACGATTTTTCATTGTTCTACCAAAATCCGCATGTAGGGGGGCATGCCCGACCCAAGTCTCGACCCTTTCCCCAGGGTATTTGTTTCCATCCCAAGCTGTTTTTTGACAGCTCCGAGGGCCCAGTGAGGGCCCACAGGATCGCGCAACCATGGATTAACGGCGCGTGCACACATCATCAGCGACGGGTCCCGCTTCCGAGCAGAATCGCCACGCTGCGTCGCCAAGTCCAGCGGCTTTGGCCTCAAGCTTTTTCAGGAGGTACTTTACTCGATCCGTGGATCTGGAGGCCAGCTTCTTCAGTGTTCGGCATGCTCACTTGCACAGAGGAGGGGGGCGGGGCGTGGCGAAGCTCGAAAGGGCATCGAGATTTCACGTAAGCCGGGACTTGCTTCGGTCCAGCTCTGCCTGAAACGGTGGCGGAGGGGGGGTGCGTGAGAGTGTGAGTGGGGATGGGGCGGTGCGTTGTGGGAGGTGGGGTGGGGTGTGGTGGGGCGGGGCGGGGTGGGAGGGGGGGTGGGAGGGTCGGGGTGGGAGGGGTGAACTGCCATGCAAGGAAGCTCGCGTGAACTCTAGGCCTCCTAGATGGGGTCCGAGTGGATGGGGTCGGAGGATCGCGCCGCATCGCCGATGCATCGCCGATGCGGCGCGGTGCGGAGCCCGAGTTTCTCCACGCCGACGTCGCCGATGCGTCGCCGTCGGTCCTCCGCGGGGTCGTCCTCGCCGACGCGGGCGCGTAAGCTGCCCTCGCAAGGCGGCGCGTGGGCGCCCCCGTTGCCGCCGTTGCGTGCCGCGCTGGCGGCCCGCGCCAGCCGCGGCGTAGGGTCGCCTGGCCAGCTCGCACGAGGCGCATGCCTCGCCGCCGCCCGCCGGGCGTCGCTGGGACGTGTGTGCATTTCTGTTGCGCGGCGAGGCTGGCGCCAGAAGGTCTGGACAGGCTCGGAGCACGCTGGACCATCCCGAGACACCAGAATCGGGAGGGGAACAAAAACACGCAGACACCATGAATCGTCGATTCCCCCGAAAAGATGGGAACTAAAAACCGAGCATCTTGGAAAATACGGGGAATCCTGGGATTTATGTGTATTTATTTGTGTGTCCCTGGGCCCCTTCACAAAAGCACGGGGAATGGACGTCAGTCGAACAGAGGCGAGGCATCCTGGCTTTCCTCTGGGCCCACCGAGGAATACTCTGATAACATGCTACGGTCTGCGCGAGTTGTTCTAGGAACCTTTCTGGCCTGGGCCGTCTTGTTTGAACACATCGCGCTCTAAAACATGTTCGGGGCTCTGGCCCTTTGCCCCTCGTAGTCGTTGTCTTCCTTCTCCCACTCGTCCTCGTCGCCCTTGTCGTCGTCGTCGTCGCTGTCGGGCTGGCCTCCGTGGCCCCATCAGTAGCAGAAAACCGAATCCCGAACACAAACCGAATCCATCCATTCTCTGATCTGGCTTTTGTTACTCGAACATTCTGGGGTTCTGAGAACACGTCGTGGTAGGCCTGCAGGAATGCCGGTCGGTCCCTGCTCAAGACAGAGCGGTGGCTGGCCCACGGAGCCCCCACCCTTCCGAGCCGAGATTTGAGGTGGCCTCGGGCGCGGCGCCGGAGAATGATCAGGATGGAAAAAAACACAGTCACCATGAATCGTCGATTCCCCAGAAAAGATGGGAACATATGGGAAGTGGGGTGGAAGACAAAAACGGAGAAGATCTGGGAAAATATGGGGAATCCTGGGACTGTGTGTATTTATTTGTGTGTCCCTGGGCCCCTTCAAATAAGGCTGGCCACGCCACAGGTCCAGATCTCAGATCAGGGAAGAGGGACCGAGACCGCTATCCTTGCCTCGTCGCCACGGCCGGATTCGCCTCGGCACCCTGGTCAGAACGCACCCCTCTAGAGGGGTCTGGGGAGCAGCGGTATCAGTATGTTGGGCCTCCCCGAGATCTCCGACGGCATGCTTTTTGTCGATCCTGGAGCTTTTCCTCGATCTCTGCTTCCAGGTCCCGTTGTCGGGCCCTGGGACCATCAGACGTGGATCTTGGACGAAAAATAACCTTCATAGGGAAGGGGTTGGTCCGCGGCGAGCGGGGGTGAAATAAGAAGGAAAAGGCCTTCTCAGAGGGCGCGGGACTTCTCAGAATCCCTCGCGTCTTCTTAGATTTTTTTGGTTGACCGGGGAAGACTTACAGTGGAGACCCATGCCAAGAAACACCCTGCTTGCCTCCAGGGTGCCCTGGGTGTCTTGGGTCTCGATGGTTTTGCGATGGAAAGCGCGACGCTCCCACACCAAACATCGATGGACGTCCTGGGGTCTCAGGGTTGGGTTTCTCTTGGGAAGTCTCTTGTGGTCGGGCCCCTCCTGCAGAAAATGTATCAGAAGGCCAGGGGTCTTCCGAACCTTCTGAGAAGGCCTTCTCCTTCTCACTGAACCCCCTCGCTCGTCGCAGAGTGTTAAGTCGGGCATGTCCCTCTACAAGGGGAATCTCCAAACATAGTCAATGATAGTCCGGGGACGATATTTCGACCATTTTTGGACTATGTTTGGTCTTCTTTTGTGTGCTTTCATTTTTCGTCCCAATTCTGCCTGTGGGGGGGCATGCCGGACCCGAGCCGAGTGGGGACGGGTCGCGCATGGAACACACCTCGCCGGACGTCAGATGGGGAGGGCCCTCCCCAGCTTCCCCCGCGATGATCTCGGGACTGCGGGCCGGTTGAAGCCCTTTGGCGACGAGCTGCCCACCGAAGGCCCAGAGCAGGAGGAGGAGGAGGAGGAGGAGAAGGAGGAGGAGGGGGAGAAGGAGGGGGAGAAGGAGGGGGAGGATGATGATGATGATGAGGAGGAGGCGGAGGAGGCGGAGGAGGAGGAGGAGGTGGAGGAGGGGGAGGAGGGCGAGCTAGGGGCGCTCGCGTCATATGTGACGTCCAACCCCTCCGTCCCATTCCTTACCACGGCGTAGATCTCCTCTCTATTCGCACAGTCGGATGTCGAGTAGGGCAATGACCCCAAGAGGGTGCGCGATGCATCGTAGGGCACGGCATAGCTGCAGCGGGAACACGATTCGGAACGAGCGGAAGCCCGACAATGAGGCCAGCGCTTCGTCGAGAACAACATTTTGAAAAATGCCTGAGCGAAAATCCAACTCCTGGCAATCTTGTGGGTAAAAAGCAATACGCTGAGGGGGGCCGAATATCTTCCCGACGTCCTCAGGGGAGAGAGTAACTCTGGAGGAGGATGACAGTTCTTGCCCCCTCCCAAGCCTCCGACATCGTGTTTTTTCTTTCAGCGCGTTTTCCGTCGAACCCTGGAACATATCCCCAGCATCGGCTCTTCTTCCCAGGTCGTTTTCTGTCCGCCCCAGGGCGCGGAATGGATCCCAGAGGGCCATAAAAGGTGGCGCTGAGAGGCTACCGATGTGCTCGTCATGGCGGGGCGTTTGGGCCGTGCAGGAACGACTTCCAAGTCGTGCTGAAGCTCCACGACAGCAAGGGCTTCAACGGCAAGGTGCTCCGCAATGGGGCGCCCGTGGTCCCGCACACGAACGGCCACCACCCGGCGCTCGCTACCCCGCAGACGAACGGCCACCGGGTCGCAACCGTGGACGGGCTGACGTGAGTTGGCCGCCGTTCTCGGCCTGCACGTCTACGAGGAGGGAACTCCTGGAGGCCTCGCACGGCGCGTCATAGTTGTTGTGTTCTCGTTCCGTGCGTCAGCTCCGTGAGCTACGGGTCGACGCTCGCGCGGCGATGCTCCCGCGTCAGTCCGACGTAAATCCGACGTAAGCCCGACGTAGTCCGACGTGAACCCTACGTACATCCGACGTGGATCCGACGTACACCGGGCCTCAAGTTGCCGCGCGAGGCCTCCAGGAGTTCCCTCGTGCCGCCTAGTCGTCGTGGTCGTCGTCCCCGGAGCTCCTTCCAGAGGCCACGTTAGGGGGGATTGGCTCAGGGGGAGGTGCATCGAACCCCGACCGCCCATGCCTCGTGGGCGCCCCGTGCTCCGGGTGGGTGTGGCGGGGTTGCGCCTGGTGCCCAGTCAGTCTCGGTGCCCTCCCGTGGGCGCCTCGTGCCCGCCGGGGTGCCCTCCTGTGGGCGCATCGTGGGCGCCTCGCGCTGCCTGTGGCTCCTGAAGGGCTGAGCTGATGGGCTCCAGCAGGGCCTGACTTGATTGGCTCCCGTGGAAGCCTATGAACCGTGCGCCGTCTCGCGTTGAGGTGGGGTGTGTGGTCGGTGTGATACAAAGAAGAAGCGCGCACTGCAAACCGTCGATTTCTCCACAGAGCGTGCACCACAGAGCTTGCCACCACGTGACGTATACGCCACTGCTCACACCGCATTAGCTTGCGGTGTGCAGTCTTCTCTTGGAGCGCATAGTGTGCACCACATAGCTTGCACCGCATAGTATGTGCCACGTACATCGCCCCTTATATTCTACAGTACAAAACCTACACCACATATATTGCACCACGTAGCTTACGTCATATACTTTCACTACGTGCCTTTCACCGCATGTGTTATTCGACATAGCTTGCACTGCGTAGCTCTCACCACGGAGCTTACGCCACATGCCTTACACCGCATGCCTTGCACCACACACGTTGCACCACAAATCTTGCGCCGTATTGTTTGCACCACTTAGCTTGCGCCACACAGCGTCTATCATTTATCGTACACCATATATGTTTATAAATACGTCCACCGAGAGCTGCAATAAACTACATCTTAGGACCCACGCTGATGTTGGTCGAGCAGCACATGGACATTTGCAGTTCCTTCGAAACTATCAGCCTCCACCTCCACCACCAGCTCAATGTCCACATCAGGGCTTCGGGGGAGGCCGCGGAGCACTCAGGCACGTGAGTGGCGACGTTCCGGTAGGCATCTCAACACACATTGGCCCCAGTGTAACGACCAAGGAGAACAACGAAGCATCAACAATGAGCCAGCCAGCACCAACAATGAACACTCCGACCTCCACCCGCCAGCATCCGACTTTCCATCTCCACTTCCACCTGTCGACCTCCAGCGTCCGGCAGCGCAGCACTCCGACATCCACCCTCCAGCAGCATGTGACCTCCCACCTCCACCTCCAAGCATCGACCCCCAGCGTCCAGCAGCTCAACACTCCGACGTCCAGCCTCTAGCATCCGACTTTCCACCTCCACCCCCACCTCCACGTATCGACCTCCAGCGTCCAGCAGCGCAGCACTCCGACCTACACCCTTCAGCAGCATGTGAGTTTCCACCTCCACCTCCACACATCGACATCCAGCGTCCAGCAGTTCAACACTATGACCTCAACCCTCCAGCATCCGACTTTCCACCTCCACCTCCACCTGTCGACCTCCAGCGTCCAGCAGCGAAGCACTCCGACCTCCACCCTCCAGCAGCTTCCGACTTTCCACCTCCACCTCCACCTGTCGACCTCCAGCGTCCAGCAGCGAAGCACTCCGACCTCCAGCCTCCAGCAGCATCCGACTTTCCACCTCCACCTCCACCACCAGGTCAATGTCCACATCAGAGCTTTGGGGGAGGCCGCGGAGCACTCAGGCACGTGAGTGGCGACGTTCCGGTAGGCATCTCAACACATATTGGCCACAGCGTAACGACCAAGGAGAACAACGAAGCATCAACAATGAGCCAGCAGACACGTGCAGCGCACACCCAGAGACCGGTACAGCCCCACTAAACTTCACGACCCACAGTGGCAATACTTTCACAATCATACATAAAAACGCCAGGAGCCTGACAACAGACGACAGCATCGATGGGCTCTTGCACGAACTTGCCAACATACATTGGGACGCAGTTGCCATCAACGAGACGTGGAGGACAGTGAAGGAAGAAATGCGGATTACCAAAGATGGCAATCATGTGTTCGCAGCTGCCGGACACCAAACAAGTTCACGAGGAGTTGCACTTTTGATTCGTAACCGCTCACTTCATCACGCGTTTTACGCCAATCAACGAGAGGATTGCTTACATCGATTTCGACTTACCCGAAACGCCCCTGCGAATTATAACCTTGTTTTCCACATAGAGGATACAGCGACAATCACGTACAGCACGTGTACGACATACTCAGTACATTGCACAAAGACGCAGCGCAACAGGGAATGCCGACAATACTAACTGGCGACTTCCACGCGCAGGTTGGGATTCAGGAGAACAGTGACCAAGATACATGTGACGACGGTGATCGCGACAGATCTCGCAGTATGATTGGGAAGTTCGGGATGGGCAAGTGCAACACCAGGAGGGGGGGTTACGAGCTTGGGCAATCAAGGAGAAGCTGGTGATCGCGAACGCGCAGTTTTACGAGCGACCACAGCACGTTTTCACATATAGTGGCAACGGGTCGGACAAGACACGCTCACAGATCGCGACTACATCTTGATCGAGCCGGGTGTGCCGCAACAGTGTCTCAGACGCTCATGCGTCCGCGTGTGCAGACTTGGGATCCGACCACCAAGTTGTTCATGTACAGTTGGGGCCCTGAAGAAGGAACCCTGTCCGTTGAGGAGGGGCTACGTGTTCCTTGCTTGTTTCGTAGCTTGCCTGAGGTTTTCCTTAGGTTTTCGATGGGAAATCGAAGTTCAACTTATGGAAAAGAAGGGGCCTCGTTCCTTATTTAGGGTTCCTTAAGTCAACGCCCTGACTGTACGACTCGATTTGTCTCCCATTGCGAGAAGGCGACGACGAAGACGTAAGACAGCACGACCAAGAACAGCCGGGCGACCACCAACAAGCGACCCAGGTTTCCAGCAACATTTCGAAGAGGCATTGCAGAAGCACTCACGCGCGTCGACAATCAGCGAAAGGTGCACCGACATGGAACGAGCACGGAAGATTGCAACAAAAGCTTACGAGACCCAAGTTGCCCACCCCAACGATTCCCACCAAGCGACCGACCAAGAGCAAACCAAACAGTCACGCGACCTCATCGCGCAACGGAGCAAAACACCGCGCGAGGACATTGCGACCCGCAAAGCTATCAGCAAGAAGATCTTCAAGGAATTGCGGTCTTTAAAACGGGCTCGACGGCAAGACAAACTCAGGGGCACGATCTTCAATTTCACAGGCCTTAGGAAGATAGCGGGGATCAATACAACTAAGCACAACGACATGGTAGCATCAATGACGGGGCAAGACGGCAACGACGAGACCGACCGACAACGCATTGCTGATATTTTTGCAACGTTCTACGAACAACTTTACCGACAAACCGACTCCAACAACGGACGTTCGACGCACGGTTGCCGCCCCCCTGTCCCCTGCCACGAAGACTTGGAGGCCGAAGTGAGGCCGAACCACATACCACCTTTTACTCAGGAAGAGGTACACCAAGCAGTCAAAGAGCTCAAACACGTAAAATGCAAACACTCAGCGGGAAGCTTTACAGAAATGTTGAAAGCAGACGGGCCGTGCATAGAACAGTACCTACAATGCTTGTTCAACGACATCACTCACCCAGAACAGTTACCGCCAGAACAGTGGAGGCGCACCACAAGCATTGTGATTTTCAAATCAGGAGACGCACAACTACCACACAACTACAGACCAATTGCAATTACCCTTTCTCCTGTGCAAGCTTATGTCTCGACTCCTGTACAATCGACTGGGCCCACTCTTAGACAAGCAGCAAAGCGTAGACCAAGCAGGCTTCAGACACGGCTATAGCACCGACGACCGCTTACTCACGACGGCTCTCTTGCACAACCAGTCAGAATAATGGCAACCACCACTCTGGGTAGCAGCGGTTGATTTTAAGAAAGCATTCGACTGTGTCAACCACAATGCACTATGGGACTCACTCAGAGAGCAGCAGGTGCCGGCATCACACCCCCCCCAAACAATTCTACACCGACCAGACCGTTACAGCACGGACGGAGAGCACGAGCAGACAGTTCAACATCCAGCGCGGTGTGAAGCAAGGAGACCCACTGAGCTTCCTACTTTTCAACGCGCTACTTGAAAGCATTATCCGACGCATGAAGGACACATGGCGCAACAAACAGTTTGGCAGACACATGGGTTTCACCGCAGACACCCTCCTTACCAGCCTCCGTTTTGCAGACGATGTTGTATTGAGTGCGCCAATCTGCGTCAGCTGAAATGTTTACTGCGCGACCTCAAGCTCCACTCGGCACACCGTGGCCTGGAGTTACACCCAGACAATATAGACATACTGACCAACGTCACCCAACGACAAGGCAGAACTATGAAGGCCACTAACATCGAAGGTAATCGCGTCGATATTTTGGACGCGACGCAGAGCACGAATTATTTGTGGCAGGAAACCTACATACCGTGATTTCCACATCACGCCAACTGAGACACGAATTGACACGCAAACACTACCCTCTCGCAAGTCGCCTACGCCTCTTCAGTGGGGCCGCAACGCCCAGTGTCATGTGCGGATGCAGCTCGTGGGCCCAAACTCAAGACAATAACGACACCGCCACCAAGACGGTTTCGATCTTTTCGGCAAACGCACGTATCCCCTTGCAATCTAAGCGACAATGCTCTTCTACACGGGTTTCGTTTTTTTTTTCTCTTGAAGGAGAGACAAAACAAACGGACTTCCAATTTGGCTTCATAAAAGCACACTAAATATATACGTGGATTTTTGTTTCAAAAAAAAAACAATTAAAAAAAAAACGTCTCGAGGTGAATATTGATCAATATTACGTGACTCGAACAGGCATATGTGCAATAAACGAGTTGTTCCAATCAGACTTCATATTGACAGGGAAGGAGTTGCCAATCCATGCCTTAATCATGTCGTAAGCCTTACGCCAAACACCAAATATTCAATTGTGTTTGAACTTTATTCACCTTAATCGGCGGGCGAATTGGAGAACGAAGCTGCTTGCCGCCCAGCTCAGCCAAAATCCGCTGCGCGACGTCAAAGGACGAAAATTCAGCGTACGAGACTTTCGAAGCAACGTGGTTCGACGTAGGGTCACTGAAGAAATGACCTGCCACAAAAGAAGGAGGCGAAGTAGAAGTTCCAATGGGCCGCTCCATGTCTCTGACGCGCTCGGCCAGGCGATGACAGCGATCATCCTCCACGCGGCCAGCTCCCTCGGCGTCCAGGCAGCGGCGCCGGACGGCTCTGAGCGCGTCGGGGGCCGCAGCCTTCGCCCCACCAGGGCGCAAGGCTTGGCGCGCCTCGGGGTCGACCTGTGGGCGATCCAACTCCTGGGGCGCTGGGGCCCATCCGCCGTCCAGGGGTACGTGCGGGAGGCATCGCTGGACGCGGCCGCTGAGTGGGCTAGGCGCGCCGGCAGCAACCTCGACCTCGAATCCGTGCTTGGCCAGGTCGCGGAGCTGCGATCCGAGCTCGGGGAGTTCCGCCGCGGCCAGTCGACCCCAGAGGGTCTCGTCGACATGAAGCTCGACGAGGTACGTTCGGATCCGGGACGCCATTCGCTGCGCTGCGAGCTGCAGGACGCGGTGGTCCGCCAGGAGGCGGACGAGCTGCAGCTGTCCGCCTGCACCGGCGGGAGCAACCTGGTCAGGAAGGCGCTCAACCGCGAATCCAGCGTCCTGCGCGCCGCCCTCGTCGGGCCGCCCACCATGCCCGCGGCTGCTTGGGTGACGCGATGTGGTTGGAGGTTCGGGTTGGCTGCGCACGCCATGGCCCCCGGTGAGCACCGAGTCGCATGTGCCCGCTGCTTCAGGGGCTGCATGGAGTTGCCAGACGGCGGGGGGATCGGGGGCCAGAGCCTCCACCTAAGCGGATGGAGCGCCCGCGCCTGGCACGCCCGTCGAAGTGGCACTCGGATAATGAGCGGCTCTGATGCTCTTCTCGGGTGGCACCGGGTGGGGGGTGCCAGTGCCGTGTGCATTATGTATATTGCGAATGGCACATTGGCACCTGCGGCGGGCATGCTCGCACCGTCCGCGGCCATTCTGGCTCTAGCGCTGACGCGCGGCTCTCGCTGTCCGCCCTCCCGCCCTGCTCGATTTTCCCTGCAGCATGCCGCGGGGACCAGAGTTTCCACCCAAACGGATGGAACGCCCCGCGCCTGGCACGCCCGTCGAAGTGGCACTCAGAAAACGATCGTCTCTGATGCTTTTCTCGAGTGGGGGGTGCCAGTGCCTTCCAATCTTATACATGCTACTAACAAACCTAACACGAATAATGCCAGTAATACGCACACCCCAATACATAATGTTAATACACGTAACCGGAATATTACTACGACTAAGATTGTTCATACGCATAGCAATACTTACATGTAGATGAATAGAGAGGAAACTAAGAAGTGGGAGAAACCAAATAAACGGAGGAGGAGGGAGGAGGAGGAGGAGGAGGAGGAGGAGGAGGAGGGGGAGGAGGAGGAGGAGGGGGTGGAAGGGGGGGAACAAGGCAGGGGTGGGCGGGGGGACGGACGTTGTAATGCTTGCCGCGCGCGGCGGCAGCACGCTCCACTCCCCGAGCCTGCGTGGTGCCAGCTGCTCCGCTGCCCAACGGTCTCGTCCCGGCGGCGCGCCGCTGCGGCCGCGTATGCAGGCTTTCTCAGACGCGCCAGCTTCGGTGATCCGCGAAAGCACTGACTTTGGCTTGGGGTGTGCAGCCGTGAGAGAAAATGAGCCCTTGTCGCGCCCAGGTGGAGTAAGGGGGCGCAGGCCTTCTCAGAAGGCGGAGGCGCCACGGGCCCACTGAGCAACCGTCTCTGTGGTTTCGGAGAAGGCCTGGGAAACTTCTCGGAAGGCTGGAGGCCTCCTGAGCCTGCCGAGACGGCCAGCCTTCTCCATATGCCCCCCTTGGGGACGCTTCCGGCCGGCCCCGACGCCCTGGCCGCAACACGGACCGACTGTGAGGGCACCGCAAGTTCGAGGTCAAGCCGAGCTCGAAGCGCCCCACGCCCTGCTGGTTCGACCGCAGGCCGAGCTCGAGGCGCCCCACGCCCTGCCGGTTCGACCGCAGGTCGAGCTCGAGCTGCCTCGGGCCCTGTTGCCCGTGTCTCGTTGTCGCCTCTTCCGGCCTCCAGGGTTGGCCCCGCCGACGCCACGCCACGGCGGGAGTCCCCTCGGACGTCTGGCCAGAGCGCACCCCTGGGAGGAGCCCGATGCAGAATTCTCACGCCAGGAGCAGCTGCTGCAAAAAAAAAAAAAAAAAAAATATTTTTTTTTTTTGCAAACAGTTTTTTTTTTTTTTTTTTCTGGTCTCCCCCCCGTCCGATGTCCACTGCGTGTCTCTGTCAGTTGAGGCTCCCCTCCACGGGCTCGCGCCCGTTTTCTACAACGGAAGTCTTGCGCCTCGGACTGGGCCCCTGGCCTCTGAACTGCAACAAAAACGGCTCCCGCCTGCTACTTCACAATGCATTCACGATGTCGCTCTCCCGCGGGAGCCCTCCACAGTCAATCCAGGAATCGCGCTTTCGCGTGGGATATTTCTTTCTTGCAGTTGATTCAGACACCGCGCCCTGACACTCAGGAATCACGGTCTTGCTCTGGTCTTGCCTGGGAATCGCGCTATCGCCAGCAAATGTTTTCACGCATCATGACGGCCTGATTCTGCAGCGACGCGCCCGCTCGACCCCGCCTTCTGGGGATGCCCGCCCGACCCGCCCGTTTTGTTCTGCCGCTTGCTTCCCTGCTGCTAGCCTTGAGTCGGGCCTGTCCCTCTACAGGAGGAATATTCAAAAATAGTGAAAAATAGTCTGGGGACGATTTTGCGACTATGTTTGACAATGTTTGAACATTCTTCTGAGTATGTTTTATTTTTCGTCCACGTCCCCCTGTAGGAGGACACGCCCGACCTAATTCTAGCCCCCTCCTGCTAATCCTCGTGCTCCATCCTTCTTTCTCCCCCTCGTCCCTTCCTTCCATCTTCCATTCCCCTGTCTCAGGGGCTGCGCCAAACAGGCGCGCGCTCGCGCGGGAGCTCTTCACAGTCTATCCAGGCGTCGCGCTCTCGCGTGGGATTTCCTCGCAGTTTACTCAGACGCCACGCCCTGACACTCAGGAATCACGCTCTTGCTCCAGACTTCCTCACTGTTTGCCTGGGAATCGCGCTATCGCCAGACAATGTTTCACGCATCAAGCAGTGCTGACTCTTCCGTGGCGCACCCGCTCGACCCGGCCGTCTGAGGCCGCCCGCCCGACCCGCCCGTTAGGACCCGCCCGCCCGCCTCGCCCGTCTGCTCCTAGCCCCCCTCCTGCTAGTCTCTCTCGTGCTCCACCCTTCTCCCTCCCCCCCCCTCCTCCTCCTCCTCCTCCTCTCCTCCTCCCCTCCTCCTCCTCCTCCTCCTCCTCCTCTCTCCTCCTCCTCCTCCTCCCCTCCCCCTCCCCCTCCCCCTCCCCCCTCTCCCCCTCCCCCTCCCGCCTCCCCTCCTCCTCCTCCTCCTCCTCCTCCTGCTCTCCTGCTCCTCTCCTCCTCCTCCTCCTCTTCCTCCTCCTCCTCCTCCTCCTCCTCCTCCTCCTCCTTCTCCTCCCCCCTCGTCCCTTCCTTCCATCTTCCATTCCCCTGTCTCAGGGGCTGCGCCAACAACACATGGCAGGTAAGGAACTATACTCCCAATGGACCCACGATCGAAGTCGACGAGGGTGGGTATCGAGGGCTTGGGATTCACATGTTCTTTGACACGCGAGCAGATAAGAACGATCAGCCTCTCAGTGATTGTTACTGAACTCTTAGTTCTGAAGAACGATTGCTGTTGATCCCCTCCCACCTGGTGCACCCTGTGCGTCTTGAGCTGAAGTGCGCTTCGGAGCGTCCAGACTGGACTTGGTTGGCCCCGGCACCCCAGCAGAGCGCGCCACCCGCGCCCTCCTGTGGCAGCCCTGAGTCCTTGCCGAGGAGGTCGCCAGGGCCGCCGCCACGATCGCGGTCGGCTACCCGGCGCTCGCCGCCCTCCGGCACGTGGCCGGCGCACGGCTCGACGTCCCGAGGCTGTGCGCGGAGCCGCAGGTCGCGGTGGGCTCCGCCGGCGATGGCGGGTGAGCGTGCGTTGTGCGTTGGGCTGTTCTGGCCCCCTTCCTCCCTGTCCTCATTCCGCCTCCTCGCCCTCTCCGCTCCCTCCCCCCGGTGGATGCTCGCGCTCGTTCTCCGGACAGAGTGGCCCGCCCGTCGTGCAAGTCTGACGTCGGGCCTGTCCCTCTACAGGAGGAATATTCCAAAACAGTCAAAAAATAGTCTGGGGACGATTTTTTCGAATATTTGTTGACCCTTTAGGACTATGTTTTGACTATTTTTCATTTTTCGTTCAAAATCCCCCTGAAGGGGGGCAGGCCCGACTTAAGGCAAGTCCGCTATTTTCAGGTACCTTTTCAGGCTTCCTCCGGCCAGGATTCCCGCTCCAGACCTCCAGGCCTCGGCGCGCGAGTGCAACATCGCGCTCCGCGGCCTCCGTTTCTTTTTTCCCTCGGCGAGGACCGTCGTGGCCCTCAGTCGCTCTGGCGGGGGCCATCGTAGGCCCCACCCCCTCGGCAGCTGCCATCATGAGGGCCGCTGGCAGTTTCGCCCCCATTCTAACGTTCTTCGCATTGCGGCGTCAGTTGCCACTTGGTGGGTTCGAGCACTCTTTTGTGGACCCTCGGCCAGCCAAAGCGTCCATCAAGGAGGGTCCAAACGTGCTTCCTTCCTGCTGACACTGTGATCCAAGACGCCAGCCAACCAAGTCCGCATCTTCCTCCATGGGGCCTTGAGCGGAATCTGTCCGCTGCCGGCTGGGCGGGCGCGACAGCAGCGAGATGCCACCTCCGTCTGCCACGTGGGGCGCCAGTGCGCGGCTGGGCCTCTTCGCCTTCTCGCTGTTTGCACGGTGCCCTGGTTCATCCAGCCTACGCCTTTAGCCTTGATCACCAGAAAGAGTTTCGAGCACCAAGAAGGTACCGAAACTGGAGGGCTTTCACGTGTCGAGCCCTGGGAGGCGATGCTCGTTCGACGCTGTTTCGATATTTTTCTGGGCGTTCGAGATTCTGTTTGAGAGGTGGTCCTTAGATACGATGGGAACAACATAAAGCGAGAGGCGAAGGTGGTCAGCGGCTGGGGGCGGCCGCCTCCGCTGGGGGAGTTTCCTAGCGGTCAGTGGGAATTGGCGGAAGAGCGCCGGAATTATGTGCCGGTCAGGTATAAGAGAGCGCGCGTAGGGCGGGGAAAATAGACATTGACCCCAGCTTCCAGCTACCCTTAAGTCGGGCCTGTCCCCTCTACAGGAGGAGTATTCAAAACAGTAGAGAAATAGTATGGGGACGACTTTTGCGCATGTTGAACGAATCTCCCAACATCCGCATGTAAGAGAACGCCCGACCTAAAACTACCCCCGCCCCCCTCCGTTGGAAAAGGGGTGGTTCGAAATCGCCCCCTTTTGAAGTGGATTTTGTTAGCTGGGCTGGCCCTAGCTACAAGGGGGGGCTGGGAAACTACCCCCCCTTCGCCCCTTGCCGGGGCCCGAGGTGTACCCCCCCGCCGCTCTTGTCGGGATTTTGTTGCTGGGGGGATCCTGGCTAAGGGGGGGCTTCGAAGTTACCCTCCTCCCCCCTTTTGTCGGGGCCTGGGGTAAGCCCGTGTTCCGGGCCTCCGAAGCTACCCCCTCTCCTCCCTTCTTGCGGTTGGCATGTCTTTTTGGGGGGGCTCTGGCTGAAGGGGGGAAGTCGAAGGTGCGCCCCCGTGCCCGTTTTTTGGAGCTGGGGGTCAGCCCTGGGCCTCTTTCTGGGCTTCGGAAGCTAATCTCCCGCCCCTTTTGAGCATTAAGGTCAGGGCATCAAGCATTTAGGGGTTAGTTTGTTAGTTTTACGGGCCTTGGGAATGGGGTATTACGGCGTTCATTTGGTTTTTGGCGCCCTTTTTGGCTTTCGGCGCCCCTTTGGTGTTCGGCGCCCTTTTGGCTTTCGGCGCCCCTTTGGTTTTCGGCGCCCCTTTGGTTTCCCTTGCCTTTTTAGTTTTCGGCGCGCTTTGGTTTTCGGCGCCCTCGTGGTTCTCCGCGCCCTTTTGGTTTTCGGTGCCCTCTTGGTTTTCGGCGCCCTTTTGGTTTTCGGCGCACTGCGGGTCTTCGGCGCACTGCTGGTTTTCGGCACCCCTTAGGTTTTCGGCGCTCTGTCGGTTTTCGGCGGCCCTTCGGTTTTCGGTGCCCCTTTGGTTTAAGGTGCCCTTTTTGGTTTTCGGTGCCCTTTTGGTTTTTGGCGCGCCTTTGTGGTTTTCGGCGACCTTTTGTTTTTCAGCACCCCTTTTGGTTTTCGGTGCCCTTTTCGCGGCCCTCCCGTCCCCAGGTGGCCACAAACATTGTTTTTGTCTTGGGATGTGTGTTCGGGGAACGTTTTTTCCACCCCTCTCCGCCTCCAGGATCCTCCGACAGACGCGTTTTACTGTCTCGGGACGTGTGTTCGGGGAGCGCTTTTCGGCCTCCCGCCCCCAGGAGACCCCAGGAGGCCCCGAGAGCCCCAGGGGACATTTTTCTGTATTGGAGTGGAGTGCTTTTAGGCCCCCCGCATGCTTCGCCCCCATGGGCTTTGCTGTCCTTCCCCTGGGGCTCGAATCTTTCGTGCGTGCTTACGCATGTTCGTATATGTTGCCCGTCTTCTGGGGCTCGAATCTTTTGTGTTTTGCGTAAAACATCGTGCCCCTCGTTTGGGCCCGAATCATTTGTGCTCCGCGCGTGCTTCCATTGATTGCCTCATCGACCGAGGTTCGAATCCTTGGCGTTTCGAGACCTCGCCGCTCCCCAAAGTCGTACTGACTGTCGTATGTCGTGCGAGCTGAAAGTGAGAACCTGCCTCGGGAGAGGTGTTGGCCCGACCTCCTTGGGCGAGGGGTCTGGGTGTGGGAATGTGGCACCGTTTTCATGTAGTTTCCCCGATGACGGGGTGGCACTATGATGGATACGTGTGGCATATAGAAGCATGGCGCATGAGTGTACAATGATTGCTGCTGTTATTGAACATTTCAGTTCTAGAGAACAGTTGGTGATGGTTCCCCTCCATCCAGTGCACCGTGTGTTCTTCCAAGCACCGTGTTTTTTTCCAATGGTAAGTTTTTGGCTTCCGCTTGGCCCCCTGACCCCCGAGTTGCATCAACAACGCTTTCCGCTTTATAAGTTCCAGAGTTCATCCGAAATCGCAATCTCGCGCGGGACGTCTTCACAATTCGTGCAGTATCGCGCTCCCGAATGGGACTTCTCACGCTTTCCTGAGACGCCGCGCCCTCGACACTCAGAAATCATGCTCTCGGATCCAGACTTCCCAACGAGCTTCTTGGAATCGCGCTATCGCAGAAATTTTCTTCGCGGTTCACGCAGGAGTGTCAGCGACCCGCCCGCTCGACCCGGCCGTCTGGGCCCACCCGCCCGACCGCCCGAGTGGTCCTGTCGATTGGGTTCTTGCTCCTGACCCGCCTCTTGCTAACCTCTCTCGTGCTCCATCCTTCTCCCTCCCCCTTATTCCTTCCCTCCCTCCCTTCCTCTGGTTGCGGGCTGCGCCAACTGCACGTGGCAGGTAAGGGATATTCACCACCACGGGAGGTACGATCGAAGAAGAAAAGTGCGGATATCGAGGACCTGGGGTAGACAATGCTGAATAACACGCGGGCAGGAAAGGGCGATAAGTCTTAACATGATTATTGTGATTGATTACCGTTGACCCCCTCTCGGGTGCACTTTGTGTTTTTCAATTGGTGTCCCCCTCCCGGGGCTGGCACCCTGTTTTCTACTATGCCTTAGATCCCACTGCAAGAACAGCGCCTCCCGCCTGATCCGATTTCACAAGTCATTCCACATTGAGCTCTCGCGAAGGGCTTCCTCACAACTTATACAGGGATCGCGCTCTCGCGTTGGACTTCGTCGCAATTTATTTAGACGCCGCGCCCACGACATTCATCAATCATGCGTTCCCTTTGGATTTCCTTGCGAATTTCTTCGGCATCGCGCTATCGCTAAAGATTTCTTCGTGATGCATGCAGGACTGACGCTTCAGCGATCCGCCCCCTCGACCTGGCCGTCAGGGCCCGCCTTCCCGACCCGCCCGTGTGGTCTTGCCGACTGCGACTTCTAATCCCCGTCCTGCTAATCTCTCTCGCGCTCCATCCTTCTCCCTCCCCCGTGTCACTTCCCGCCTCCCTCCCTTCCTCTGTTTTGGGGGCTGCGCTCGAGGGCGCGCATCGATTGTTCGAGGAATACCTGCTGAATGACACGCGATCAGAGAAGAGCGAATAGTCTCAAAATGTGTGTCAATGTTGTTGCTGCAATGTTCGGCCTCGGTGGGTCCTGGCTTGGCCCCGGGACCGTCAAACATTTACTCGGGATGAAAAGCCCGCCTTGGGGAAAGGGTCGGGACCTGCTGGGACCCCGTGTTCATCATCTCTCTTGGGAGGAGGAGGAGGAGGAGGAGGAGGAGGAGGAGGAGGAGGAGGAGATGCAGCAGGAGGGGATGGGAGGCCTTGCTGCGATGCAGCTGCTCGCGTCTCCTCGTCTTGCCGATGCTACTGTTCTGGCTTACGCAGATGTTCGTCCTAACCCCGTCAAGCTCTCCTGTGGCTGAGGCCAGCAAGATCATGACGACCATAGCCGACTACTTCCTGGCGCAGAAGGTGAAGAAGGACCTGCTCGCCAAGGACGAGTACCTTGAGGTCGTCAATGCATCGCCTGGATTTGGGCTTGTGGTGTTGCGCAAGTGGCGCCGAGCAAGACATGTGAGCACGGTCGGGATCGTGGCTTAGCGTATCGCGAGGCCGGCCGGGCTTGGCCCACCATGTTTCGGCGCGACGCTGACCACGTCCCAGGTTTCTTGTTTTCCATGCCTCCAGCCCCTCCAAGCGGAGCGACACGCTATCCGCTTGCAGGGCATAGCCTGTCGTCGTGGCCGCCGCCGCGACACGCTAAGCAACAGTTCCTGACCGTGACACCTCTGCACGCTTAAATATCCCTTCGGTGGAGTTTCTCATAGCCTCTCTTTCACCACGGTGTGGCTCGACCTGATCAGCATGTCAGACTTACGGTCACTGCACCTCTCCATTATTTCCCTCCCCTCTCTGTATATGTAAAGATTATATACACATGTGCATGTAGAGTGAGGGATGTGTATGCATTTCTTGTTCATTGATGTTGTAGTGCGTCTGTATGTATGTATGCCCGTCCCTCTGTCTGTCTGTATGTCTATATGTCAGTATGTCTGTGTGTATGTATGTATGCATTTATGTATGCATGTACGTACGCATGCATGCATGCATGTACGTATGCACGGATGTACGCATATATACAAAACCAAACATAATTGCATCTACAGAGTTAACTTGTCATACATATATGCATGCGTACATCCACACGTACAGACAAACATCCATATATACATACACAATATGCATACATAAACCTAACCCTCCATACACATAAACATGTACACATACATACAATCCAATACACTACACCACACTGCAATACACAACACTACACCCCACTACAATACAATACCATACAATGCAGTACACTACAGTACACAACATACATACAAACATACATACGTACATCCACACACAGACATTACGACATACATGCTTTCATCCATGCGTACACACATACATACATCCATACGTCTACATACATATACACGCACATGTATAACCCATGTATCTACACCTCTTTACACATGTAGAGACATAGACATATATTAGTATGCGTATCGAAATGTCGATATATATATATATATATATATATGAAAATATATACATATATAAATACATATACATGTGCATATGCAGTTACACATGTGCATGAGCAGACCGAACTACTTGTATACATAGTTGTATGTGAAATTTTTCATATGCACACACGTAAAATTGTGTGTGTATATATATATATATATATAGGTAGTGTGGCATACACCCATGTATACACACATACATCCATAGGTGTGTATATGTGTCTATCGACACACACATATGCATATGTATATTATCATACGCACCTCTCCGAGGGAGAGAATCTCAGAGGCGATTAATGCAGAAGCGCCGCGTCGTTCGCGATTTTTCTGGCCGTTCCGCTAGGGACGTTCTCGAAATTCTGAACATGGGTGGCACCCCTTACACAGATTGTGACGTCAGGGTCCAACACCATATGGGAATTTTAACATTCTAACATAACACCTTCAAAGGCACATTGTAAGTTCAATGATGTTGACACCGATTCTCAGAGAATGGTGGCTTCGCCTGAGACATCCTCCCAAAATCGAGCCCCGACGTACCTTATGGTACCCCAGACCCCGCCTCGGAGCCTCCTGGGAGCCTCCTGGAGACTCCTGGGGCCTCCTGGGGCTTTCTGTGCCTTCTAGTACCCCAGACCCCGCCTCGGAGCCTCCTGGGGGTCTCCTGGAACCTCCTGGGGCCTCCTGGAGCCATCCTGGAGCCTTCTGGAGCCCTCCTGGAGCCTCCTGGATCCTGGGGCCTCCTGAGGCCGCCTCGGGCCTCCTGGGGCCTCCTGGGGCCTCATAACTACATGCACACACACAGACACAAAACACACCCAACACATCACACGCTAGACAAACCTAACACACAGCACCTACAACGCACAGAAGACACGCACAACACAGAGCACACAACACATACACACAACACTCACAATCCTGGGGCCTCCTGGAGCCTCTTCCTGTATCCAAGTCGGGCCTCCTGAGGCTTCCTGGGGGGGCCCGGTACACACATCGCAAGGTGTGGCAACCCCACTTGCGCTCAAGTGCGACCTCGCTATCGCATGTCGCTCCCAGCAGCTATCCTCCTCCTCTTCTCCTCCTTCTCTTTCCCTCCACACATTGTCTGCACACACGTGCCATTTGTATGAGCCTGGGCACACACGTGCAACGTGTATGTGTGTATATATATGTATGTATGTACGTATGTATGTATGTATGTATGTATGTATGTATGTATGTGTACATGCATGTATGTATGTAAGTATGTAACCATGTAAGTATGTAACTATGCAAGTATGTATGTGTGTATATGTGTGTATGTATGTATGTATGTGCGTATGTATGTATGTATGTATGCATGCATGTATGTATGTATGTATGCATGCATGCATGTATGTATGTATGTATGTATGTATGTGTGGGTGTGTATGTGTGTATGTATGCATGCATGCATGTATGTATGCATGTCTATGTGTATGTAGGTATATGTGTGTATGTAGGTATGTATGTATGCATGCATGTATGTATGTATGTATGTACGTATGTATGGGGCATGTATGTATGTATTCATGCATGTACGTCTGTATTTATGTATGTTTGTTTGTATGTATGTATGCATGCATGTATTATTCCCATGTGTGTATGGTTGTACTGTATGTATGTATGCATGCATGCATGCATGCATGTATGTATGTATGTATGTATGTATGTATGTATGTATATACGTATGTATGTATGTATGTATGGATGGATGGATGTATGTATGTGTGTGTGTATGTATGTATGTATGTATGTATGTATGTATGTGTGTATGTATGTATTCAGTTATGTATGTTTGTATGTATGTATGTATGCATGCATGCATGCATGTATGTATGTGTGTGTATGGTTGTACTATATGTATGTGTGTATGCATGCATGCATGTCTGTAGTTATGTGTGTTTGTATGTATGTATGCATGCATGCATGTATGCATGTATGTGTGTATGGTTGTAATGTATGTATGCATGCATGCATGCATGCATGCATGCATGCATGGATGTATGTACGTACGTATGTATGTATGTATATATGTACGCATATATATGTATGTAATGTATGTATGTATGTATGTATGTGTGTATGCATGTATGTATGCATGCATGCATGTATGCATGCATGCATGTATGTATCTATGTATATACGTATGTATGTATGTATGTATGTATGTATGTATGTATGTATGTATGGTTGTTTTTATGTATGTATGTATGTATGTATGTATGTATGTATGTATGTATGTATGTATGTATGTATGTATGTATGTGGCGGGTCCGGGGGCCCTGGGGGCCCTGCCTGGGCGCCGGGGGCTTTCCAAGATCGCCCGAAGACGGCCCTCGATCGCCAGAAATGGCGCTGCCAGACCGCGACAACGAGCAATGACGGCCCGAGATCACTCCAGAATTCGCCCCTGACTGTCCAAGAGGCCTCCAAGACGCCCCAAGAGGTCTCCAAGATGCCTCCCAAGGAGCCCCAGGGGGCGAACAAACATCGTGAATCTCCCGTGAGTGTTTGAGAGGATTTTCGAGATCTCTCTTTTTCAGTTTCCCGACGCTCAACTACGGCCCACGAGGCCCCGGTGTCCGCTCAAAGGCAGCCCCAGAGGCCCCGAAGTCCGCCCCAAGATGGTCCAAGCGGGTCCCAAGACGGCGCCAGAGGTGTCCAAGAAGGCGGCCCCACGAGGAGACCACGAAGGGTAACACGAATCGAGAAACCGAGCCTTCCACGTCGAGAGGCTCTCAGGAGGCCCCAATAGGCCCCCAACAGCCCCAAGAGGCCCCCAAGAACCTCCCTGAATGGCCCAAGAGACTCCAATAGGCCTCCCACGAAGGACCAAAGAGGCAACAATCATTATTTGTCCGTCGGATTTTGGCGGATTTCCCAGTGTTCAGCCTTTTGACATCCCGACTGTCCAAGCTGGCCCAAGAGGCTTCCAAGACTGCTCTAAGATAGCTGACGAGGCTTCCAAAACGACCCCAGGACGGGCCCTGGGAGCCCCGCGACGGCTGCCAAGGCGCCCTCGGGAGGCGGAAAAGTCGCTCCGACATGTCGCGAAGCCGCGAACCATCCCCAGGAGGCCCGCAACAACCCCAAGACGCTCCAAAACGGCTTCCTGACAGCCTGACACGCCCCCAAGACGCCCCAAGACGGATTCAAGAGGCCCCCTGAGAGGCCCCCTGAGAGGACCCCAAGAGGCGCAAATCGTAGATCTCCCTGTGTTTTTCAATGTTTTGTTCGGTTCTTCCCTGCTCGGACTTCGGATGTTTCAGACGGCCCCAGGAACCGCCAGGACCGCCCCAAGAGGGCCCCAGAGCCGCCCAAGACGTCTCCCAGAGGGCCCCAACACAGCCCAGTGGGGCCGCAAGACAGCTCGAGAGGCGCCCGAGAGGGCCCCAAGACAGCCCAAAGTGGAGCCCCAGAGAGGCAACCGAACCCCATGAGCGGCAGACCTCTCTGTGTGCGCTACCAGTACGACTCTGCTGCGAATCTCTCCTTGGGCTCGCTCGCTCGCGAGCGAGAAACCCGTCCCCCCTCCCTCTCCCCCGCTCGCTCGATCGAGCGCGCCAACCCGCGAGCGAGCCACATGCCCTTCGCATGCCCCGTCCCGCCCGCCAGGCCCGACCGGCCCTGCCCGCTCGCTGGCGCGCCCGAGCGCTGGGGCGAGCGCGCGAGATGGCCCCTCCCGTCCCCCTGCCCCCGTTCGCTCCTTCGCCCGCGGGCTCGCTCGCCCTGTCCTGGCCATCGCTCGGACGTCCATTCCCTTTGTTTTTTTCGGTTTCGTGCGTGGTTGTTTCGCCAAATGATCAAGGATGCTCCTCGATGGTCCTCGTCGAAAGAAAAATGCACACGTCCGAGCGATGCCAGGTGTCGACCTCCCCCCCCCCCCTGGCGCTCGCCGGCCGGCGCGCCCGCGGGCGGGCGAGGGAGCGGCCGAGCGAGGGAGCGAGCGGTCGCTGCCACGCCCTCGCTCGCTGGCCCGCTCGCTCCGCCCCCCCGCCCCGCCGCTCCTGCGCTCGCTCGCCCGCTCGCTCGCCCGGGCGGCCGAGCGATGGCTCGCAGCGAGCCCGCGACCGAGCGAATTTCGGCGACCGAGCGAATTTCGGATCGAAAAGTCGCCCTCGGCATCGCTCGGACGTGGGCATTCTTCCTTGGGTGAGGACCATCGAGGAGCATCCTTACCATTTGGTGGAAAAGCCACGCACGGAACCGAAAAAAACACAGGGCGTGGACGTCCGAGCGTTGGCCAGTGCTGGCCTGGGAATTAAAGCGAAGCTTTTAAAGGTGACCCGCACGCGCGCGGGCCACCCGCCGCGCGCGGGCGGCCGTGGTCACAAGGGCTCCCTCGAGGGCGCGAAGTTATTCGCGCTTCGCGCTTCGCGGTCCTCGTTCCTTCTCCCCCTCCTCCTCGTCCTCCTCTTCTCCTCCTTGGGGGGCGGCGCGAGAGCGCGAAGTTATTCGCGCTTCGCGCTTCGCGCAGCGCGAAGCGCGAAGTTGGGAGCCCTAGTGGTCACCCGCGCGCGGCCTCCCGGTGGAATGTCTGCACCGCCCACAATCGAAAAGGCCGCACACGCGCGGAGAGTTCTGTATTGTGCGCCAACCAAAGCCGCCACGTACGCCAGAACTGCACGCCGTAATCGCGCGGGTGTTTGAGTGACCGAGTGCTCGTGCACTACCATTCGCAGGCTTTGTCTCGAGCGCCCGATGGCCGCTGATGCCCTCGCCGGAACTGATGAAACCACGAGCCAGGATCCCAGATACGGGGACCCGGTTAGTGGTAGGGCCCCGGAGCCCTTACATTTGCCAGAATTACTCGGCCAGGTCTGCCGTAGCTGGTGTTTTCTCGGGCGACGGCAGTTCCGATTCGTGGCACGGGGCGGGGGGGGGCGCCCCCCAGTACACATCACTAAACCAGGTCCCACTAAACCCAGTTCTGCCAACGCCCGATAGTAGTTTGCTCTAGCGGCTTCTCGCAGCAGAGCCCCGCCTGTCCTTGCTCAGTCCAGTATCTCCCCGCTTCCTCACCTCCCGCCCCCCTCTCCGCTCCTCGTGCCACCCCCCTCTCCCTCCCCGGCGCCCAACGGCGGCGACGTGGCCGCCGCCCGAGGTGCTGGCGCTGCACCACGCCGTGATGGTGGCGGCCATGAAGACGAAGCAGAACACCGACCCCTCCTTCGCGGACGCGCTCGACGCGGCGATCGAGGCCCCCGTGGCGCTCCCGACAGCGCCACACTGCTCTCGAGACCTCCGATGCGCCGGCTCGCTCGGCGCACCCAGCCTCCTCCTCCTCCTCCTCCTCCTCCTCCTCCTCCTCCTCCTCCTCCTCCTCCTCCGTTGCCGACGCGGCGGTCGACGGCGGCCCTGCGGAGGTGCCGTCGGCGGCGCTGCGAATGTCTCAGAGAGTCCTGCGGAGGCCTCTGGGAGGCCTCTCTCAGAGGAGAAGGAAGGTACCGATGATCGCTGCCCTCCCCTCGTTTTCGCCCTGTTGGGCCTCCCGGGAGGCCCTCGTCGCCACGGCTGGACTCGCCACGACATTCTAGCCAGGACGCACCCCGGGAGAGGTCAGTGGAGTAACTGCGGCAGGTCCCTGGCGTGTCGACTTGGCGGCGAGCCTGGCGCGGGCGTTCAAGTTGGAACGCCGCCAGTAGCTGTAAGTCGGGCCTGTCCCTCTATAGGAGGAATATTCAAAAACAGTCAAAAAATAGTCTGGGGACGATTTTTGTATTATTTTTGAGCATTTTGGTGTATTTTTTGACTATGTTTTATTTCCCGTCCATAATACGCCTGTAGGGGGACATGCCCGACCTAACAGTAGCCCGGAGTCGTCCGTTATGAAAGGATCTGGCGATCGAACAGCCGCCGCTCGTTCAAGTTTGAACGATCCACGCGGTGTCAGAAGCCAGCGCGGTAGGAGGGCGCCGACTGACTCTCAGAGCCCCGAAGCATCAAGGCTGGGGGCGGTCAGGGTCAAGTGCAGATTCGTGCCTCGCGGGCCAAACCAGAGTTACCCCGGACCAGGTAGCTGCTGGTTCGCGCGTCGGGGGCCCACACTGGACTCCGGACCAGAGCTCCCCCGGACCATTCGGGCATCCATGCTGAGCCCAGCCCGGGGGCCCCCAAACGGGGCGGTGACCACACCGTGTGGTGAGTCGGTGGGGATTCGGGGCCACCGCTCGGTTTTGGGGCTGGGGTCATTCTCCGAGGACGTCTTGGGCGACCGGGGCATCCGAGGCCCCAAACTCGTGCGCTGACGGACCGTGCGGTGAGGTCTTGGGGAGTTTCGAGGTCACCGCGCGGTCTGTCACCGCACCGTTGCGGGACTCCAAACTGAGCCCAGCATCGGTGTGTTTGCCCTCCTGGCCAAGCCAGGAGGGCGTCGTGCACCGATTCTGGTCCTCGGCCCGGGGCCTGGCCAGGATCGGTGTACGTGTATAGTCTGAAGTCGGGCCTGTCCCTCTACAGGAGGATTGCTCAAAAATGGTAAAAAATGCAGTGGGGACCATTTTGTCAGTCTTTACCTAACAGCGAAGACTGATAGGTTTCTAGTGGGATCAAAAGAGAGCAGCAGATCACTCCACAGGGGGGTCCGGGCAGGTGTTGGGAGTTGCCGGGCGGCAGGTGCCGGGCTCGTTTTTCACCAACAGTCACACACTTCGTGCTCTTCGACTTCCCAGAACTCCATTCCCAGGCCACATTCTCAATACCCGGATGCAACAGTCACACACTTCGTGCTCTTCGAGATCCCAGAACGCCATTCCCGGGCCACATTTAGAATAACCGGATGCAACAGTCACACACTTCGTGCTCTTCGAGTTCCCAGAACGCCATTCCCGGGCCACATTCTGGAGGGCCGGATGCAACAGTCACACACTTCGTGCTCTTCGAGTTCCCAGAATTCCATTCCCGGGCCACATTTTGGATGCCCGGAGCCAACTGTAGGCCACTTCGTGCTCTTCGAGTTCCCAGAACTCCATTCCCGGGCCACATTTTGAATGCCCGGAGCCAACTGTAGGCCACTTCGTGCTCTTCGAGTTCCCAGAACTCCATTCCCGGGCCACATTTTGAATGCCCGGAGCCAACTGTAGGCCACTTCGTGCTCTTCGAGTTCCCAGAACTCCATTCCCGGGCCACATTTTGAATGCCCGTAGCCAACTGTAGGCAACTTCGTGCTCTTCGACTTCCCAGAACTCCCATTCCTGGGCCACATTTTCAGCAGGGGCAAGAGCACGACGAGGAGGAGGACGAGCAAGACCAGGAGGACGAGGACGAGCAGGAGCAGGACGAGGAGCAGGAGGAGCAGGAGAAGAAGGACGAGCAGGAGGAGGAGGAGGACGAGCAGGAGGAGGAGGACGACCAGGAGGAGGAGGACGACCAGGAAGAGGAGGAGGAGGAGGAGGAGGGGAGGGGGGAGGAGTACCAGGAGGAGGAGGAGGAGGAGGAGGAGAGGAGGAGGAGGAGGAAGAGGAGGAGGAGGAGGGGACGAGGACGAGGAGGAGGAGGAGGAGGGGGGGGGAGAGTACCAGGAGGAGGAGAACGAGGACCAGGAGGAGGAGGAGGAGGAGGAAGGGAGGAGGAGAGGAGGAGGAGAGAACACCAGGAGGAGGAGGACGAGCAAGACGAGGAGGACGAGAACGAGGACGACCAGGAAGAGGAGGAGGAGGAGGAGGAGGAGGAGGAGGAGGAGGAGGGGAGGGGGAGGACTACCAGGAGGAGGAGGAGGAGGAGGAGGAGGAGGAGGAAGAGGAGGAGGAGGACGAGGAGGAGGAGGAGGAGGACGAGGAGGAGGAGGGGGGGGGAGAGGGAGGAGGAGGAGGAGGAGGAGGAGGAGGAGAGAGCACCAGGAGGAGGAGGACGAGCAAGACGAGGAGGACGAGAACGAGGACGAGCAGGAGGAAGAGGAGGAGGAGGAGGAGGAGGAGGAGGAGGAGCAGGAGAAAGAGGAGGAGGAGGAGGAGGAGGAGGAGGCAGGCTGAGGCTGAGGCTGTGACTGCGACTGCCGTTGCCGCTGCGACTGTCATCGCGAATGCGACAACGACTGCGAGAACAGCAGAATTCGACAACTGGATTTTCATCTGAATCTTAAGGGGAATGCTTTCAGATATGCTTCTACACATCGCTGTTAGGTTGCTTTGCCGGGATATTTTTACCTAACATCGAAGACTGGTAGGTTTCTAGTGGGCTAAAAACAGCTCACAGATCACTCCACAGGGGGGTCCGGGCAGGTGTTGGGAGTTGCCGGGCGGGTTGAGTCCACTTCGTTTTTCACCAACAGTCACACACTTCGTGCTCTTCGAGTTCCCAGAACTCCATTCCCAGGCTCATTCTGAATAACCGGATGCAACAGTCACACACTTCGTGCTCTTCGAGATCCCAGAACGCCATTCCCGGGCCACATTTAGAATAACCGGATGCAACAGTCACACACTTCGTGCTCTTCGAGTTCCCAGAACTCCATTCCCGGGCCACATTCTGGAGGGCCGGATGCAACAGTCACACACTTCGTGCTCTTCGAGTTCCCAGAACTCCATTCCCGGGCCACATTTTGGATGCCCGGAGCCAACTGTAGGCCACTTCGTGCTCTTCGAGTTCCCAGAACTCCATTCCCGGGCCACATTTTGAATGCCCGGAGCCAACTGTAGGCCACTTCGTGCTCTTCGAGTTCCCAGAACTCCATTCCCGGGCCACATTTTGAATGCCCGTAGCCAACTGTAGGCAACTTCGTGCTCTTCGACTTCCCAGAACTCCCTTTCCTGGGCCACATTTTCAGCAGGGGCAAGAGCACGACGAGGAGGAGGACGAGCAAGACCAGGAGGACGAGGACGAGCAGGAGCAGGACGAGGAGCAGGAGGAGCAGGAGAAGAAGGACGAGCAGGAGGAGGAGGAGGACGAGCAGGAGGAGGAGGACGACCAGGAGGAGGAGGACGACAGGAAGAGGAGGAGGAGGAGGAGGCGGGGAAGGGGAGGGAGTACAGGAGGAGGCAGGAGGAGGGAGGAGGAGGAGGAGGTAGGAGGAGGAGGAAGAGGAGGAGGAGGAGGAGGAGGAGGACCACGAGGACGAGGGAGGAGGAGGAGGAGGGGGGGGGGTGAGTACCAGGGAGGAGGAGAACGAGGACTCACCAGGAGGTAGGAGGAGGAGGAGGAGGAGGAGGAGGGGAGGAGGAGGAGGAGGAGAGGAGAAACACCAGGAGGAGGAGGACGAGCAAGACGAGGAGGACGAGAACGAGGACGACCAGGAAGAGGAGGATGAGGAGGAGGAGGAGGGGAGGGGGGGGACTACCAGGAGGAGGAGGAGGAGGAGGAGGAGGAGGAGGAAGAGGAGGAGGAGGACGAGGAGGAGGAGGAGGAGGAGGAGGACGAGGAGGAGGAGGGGGGGGGAGAGCACCAGGAGGAGGAGAACGAGGACCACCAGGAGGAGGAGGAGGAGGAGGAGGAGGAGGAGGAGAGAGCACCAGGAGGAGGAGGACGAGCAAGACGAGGAGGACGAGAACGAGGACGACAAGGAGGAAGAGGAGGAGGAGGAGGAGGAGGAGGAGGAGCAGGAGAAAGAGGAGGAGGAGGAGGCAGGCTGAGGCTGAGGCTGTGACTGCGACTGCCGTTGCCGCTGCGACTGTCATCGCGAATGCGACTACGACTGCGAGAACAGCAGAATTCGACAACTGGATTTTCATCTGAATCTTAAGGGGAATGCTTTCAGATATGCTTCTACACATCGCTGTTAGGTTGCTTTGCCGGGATAATTTTGTTTTGTTGTTTTTACTTAACAGCGTAGACTGATAGGTTTCTAGTTGACTCAAAAGAGCTCACAGATCACTCCACAGGGGGGTCCGGGCAGGCGTTGGGAGTTGCCGGCCGGGCCTGTGCCGGGCTCGTTTTTGGATTTCTATTAACATCAACACTACTTTTGACACTTCGACTTTCCAGAACTACATTCCCAGGCCACATTTTGAATAACCGGATGCAACAGTCACACACTTCGTGGTCTTCGAGTCCCCAGAACTCCATTCCCGGGCCACATTTTGAATGCCCGGAGCCAACTGTAGGCCACTTCGTGGTCTTCGAGCCCCCAGAACTCCATTCCCGGGTCACATTTTGGATGCCCGGAGCCAACTGTAGGCCATTTCGTGGTCTTCGAGTTCCCAGAACTCCATTCCCGGGCCACATTTTGGATGCCCGGAGCCAACTGTAGGCCATTTCGTGGTCTTC